GCGTAACAGCCGGTTTTGCACCCTAGGTGGCTTGTGTGGAATGGTATCATGCTTGAGCGCCACAATATCATTGCCCGAGTAGGCCTTGTCAGCCACGCGGCCGGCTCAGTGCACTGAACACTGAGTCATTAATGGCGCGGGCCATGCATTGAAGCCGCCATGCATTGATCGACCACTCAGTACTTGGCTCATGCATGCGCACGTCTCATCAGTAAGCATTAGTACCCAGAAACGATGCGCATGCACACGGTGATGTTCAAGATTAGTCTGCGCGCGCAACTCTCAAGTTGCTTACGCACCACTGAGGCCTCGAGCACGTTGACAACGTACACTGAAATGCGCGCCGGCCAGTCTTTGCATATTTATGCTTTGAGTAATTTACGTTCTTATTTGTCTGACGCTCTCAAACTTATAATCGACCTTGTTATCATGGCTTGTGTGACACTATCGGAATATCGCCAAAGAGCTAAGCCCACGGCTGCCAACTCATTGATTCGAGTCGGGTAAGCTTTCAACCAGGGCGACTTGTACCACAGGACGTGGCCAGTCCACGAGTCTGTGCGGTACGATGAGGTCCTTGGATCTGACGGGTCAATACGATCTCACGGGCACATAAGTAGATGCCCGGACAATGGTTGCCGCATAGAATACACCATGATACAACGAACTGGTTTATGTGTAGCGATACTCACTTGATGACTCTACTTATGTTACAGGTCGATGAGATTGCCTCTTGACGAGATTCTCCTTTGCAAAGCTGCCAGGTTTGCAACGCTTGAGGATCGCGATGAGTACTCTTGTACCTGCGGAAAGCCCAACGGCTGGTTTCATCATTCGAAACCAGGTTCAATCGTGGGACAATGAGAGTTCTTCTTAGAGCGAGTACTTCTAGTATCGGATAAGCAGGGTTGGTCTAAGATGATCAGCGTTATTTGCCGCCTTCCTAACAAGTCCAAACGCAAGGTGCACAACGTGAGATATCTACTGGAGGTCTTGTAACGGATGTCCTCTTCCATAATTCCGGTTGGGGCATGAAACATAAGATCCCTCTTCTAAAGGAAGACGTTTCTGTGGCCCAGACGATATTAGTACTGTCTGGGCTCTTTGTACCCTATCGGCACAGTCGTAGCTCGAATCTCTGCTGAGTCAAAGAAGCAGCCAAACTGACCGTTGACGGTTTGCTTCTGCCGCCACCCTTTGTAAGACCCCCTTCCAAGCTGCGTCTAGTGAATCCGGAGCGCTTCTCAGTAAGGAGGTAATGCAAACGTAGCACCAGGAGTTGAGCGCAGAACGGTCAAGGTTCGAGAGCTCACCAGTTTTGAGAACAGAGATGTTTTGTCTTCGAGGAGCCGGGTCGGCGAGTCAAACTCGCGCACAAGTCCGGCCTCCATCACCTGCGGAATATGACGACGTATCAAAGGCAGTCAGTATGCACGTTTCTCCTGTCTTGACACAACCGTCTTGGCATCTACCAACCAGACAGTTGTGTCAAAAATTCGAAAACCCGGCGACGTTCACACAAATTACCCACAAGACGTCGGCGTCACAACGTGGGGCCCACCTTTGCGGTTGCAGAGAGTTAATTGCAAACCCCATCGGACGATCCAAAGGGTTGACGTTGGGGGCTTGCCCCATTGATCGACAGTTCCGATATTTTGTTGTCGGGTCCAAGAGCGTGCCTACTGACTGAATGCTAATTGCCAAATTTTCAAAGCCCAGCGACCGCAGAGATTATCCGCTGAGAAAGTCTTCGCTCTGACTTAAGGTTTTTGCTGTCCCTTCACAAACGAGCAAAGGCTAAACGTCGAGCGTACAGGCCTTATATTCCGCCAGAGAAGGTCGGCTACTTCAAATTCGCAATGCATGATTTCGCTGACCGATCTTTTCGCTTAGCGAAGGGACACTTGGACAATGTCAAACCAAAAAGGATCAAGATCCTATTCTGACACCAAGAGCCATCAGTTGTCTAACACCATCAGATTTTCAAAAGTGACTCATCAATGCTGATTCCTAAAGCCCACACGGTCACAACACCATTATATTGTAGAACTTTGAAAAGTTACTCACCAAAACTCGATCGCTATCGATCACGGTAGGAATCCTGTGCGCCACGCTCAGCACCGTACAGTGTTCGAACTCGCGCCAAATCGTTCTTTGTATGAGCGCGTCCGTCGCCGTGTCAACCGACGCAGTCGCCTCGTCCAAACAAAGAATCCGGACCGACTTCAGAAGTGCGCGCCCAAGGCAGAACAACTGCCGCTGACCAACCGACCAATTCTCGCCGTTTTCCCCAACATCCGCGTCTAACCCCTTCCCTTTCTCCCTAACCGGCGCGGTTAGCGCGCTCTTCTCGAGCGCCTCCCAGATCCGGACGTCCGAATGCTCGCCCAAGGGGTCCATGTTGGACCGTACGGTGCCCGCAAATAGAACCGGGTCTTGGGGGATGATACCAATCCTTGACCGGAGGTCCGCTAACCCGATTCTCAGCACGTTAACCCCGTCGATCACTATGTTCCCGCGGGACGGTTCCACTAACCGGAACAACGCGGTTATGAGGGTCGACTTCCCACTTCCGGTCCGGCCGACTATGCCGATCTTTTCGCCCGCTTCGATGGCCAGGTTTATGGAGTGTAAGACGGGCGGAAGGTCCGGTCGGTAGCGGACCTCCAAGTCGTGGAACTGGATGGACCCAGCTCGGGGCCAGTCCTTGGGGGGCCGATTCACATCGACAACGGCAGGCGCCTCGCTCTCGAGCTTTGTGTATCTGCACAAGCATTGCGAACGTCGGATTCTTACATCGCTATTGTTTTACCCATCGACTTGTCTGTGTACATTATACTTAGGCAGTCGACAAACATACGAGGATCCAGAGCCTTGATTAACGTTTCCACCCGCTTGCTTGCAATATGCACTTCAGCAAGAAGAGCAGAAGCAGTAAGAGGTAGGCACTCACTGCTGTATTCTTTCGACGGACACCATCTTGTTCTCCAGAGTGCAGAACAGCAGAACGGCCCAGAAGATGCAGTTGTTGAGGGAGAGCCCGTACGAAAGGGACAAGCCCACCAGCCCTGTAAAAGAGAGGTATCCAAGTCAGTCTCTTGAGGCTCTTTGAAATAGCGGGTTTCAGTGCTGTTTGAATTACGTGGAAACGAGGAAACCAAGTCAACCTGTGGAAGTTCCGTGAAGGAGGAGGAGAGCCCCAACGGACATTTAAGTATGGAACTGAACGTCTAGTCCTTTTCAAATCAGGATAGATATACTTGATAACCTGTTTCATCTCACGAACCAGAAAGGGACGCGAACGATGCTAGCTCGCGTGCTGAGCAGTACAACAAGGAAGAACGCCCCAGCGGAAAGACCGAGGGTCCAAATCATCTCCAGGTGGACTGTCGAAACGTCCCAATAGTCTTCTTTTTCAACAAATTTGTCGTTACTACCCAAAAACATTCACAGGTATGGCAAGCTGACTTGAGCCAACGGGAAGGCCCCAAAAACACCCCCAAGTGAGACTCACCTGCATCGACCCGCGTGCTGGGTAGAACCACCAGGAAGAACGCCCCAGCGGAAAGAACGACAGTCTTGATCAATTTCAGCCGACCTTTTTAGCGCTTCAAAGAGCTTCTTACCCCAATCCTCGCTCTTCTTCTGTACTACCTGAAGTAGATTCCCAAAGGAAATCAAGTCAAGCGAAGGGATGGCCACAGCAAGGAATGCGGGTTGATACCAACCTGCGTCAACTCGCGTGCTGGGCAGAACAACCAGGAAAAACGCCCCAGCGGAAAGAACAACGGTTCCAATCATCTCGAGTCGAACGCCCAGCCACTCGTTGGTGCCCCAGAAGTGGAAGTAGTTCTTCAGGTTGTTGTCCAGTTTCGTCAGGTTAGTGCGTGCAAACCGTTCCTCCTGCAGCAGAGTCCCGTTTGTTTCAGGCAGCCGATTTGGGTTTCACTAACCCGTCAAAGGGTTTCGTCCAAATCCCAGTCACCCACTTGTTGCTGTTCCTAACGTGGGGTTGTTCACCAAATGCTGTCGAGTCGGTGCGCACAAACCGCTCTCCTGTAAATCACATGCTAGCTGAGCTCAGCAGCGTCTCATTCGTAAGACGCTGAGCTCAGCTAGCGATGGAATCTGCGATGGAGGAGGGCTATAAGACAGTTCAGAAGACCGAAGGGATCGTAGAAAGCAGAAGAGTTCTTTGCATTTTAAGTTGGTGCGTGCAGATTGTTCATCGTGCAATGGAATCCTCTTCGTTGAAACGCGAGAATTTGACTTCCGTGCGGCTTGATATCATCAGCTCAACTTCAACATTCGGTGACCCGGTCGTTGGTGACGGGACGAGAATTGAATCATTGATTGGTGCGTGCAAACCGTTCCTCGTTTGAAGCGATTACGGTGTTAGGATGTGGGATCCTTGCAAGCGCGTTAGAAATTGGAACAACGAGAAGCGGAGTAAAACTAACCGTTCCTCTGGCTGCCTACATGACTTCACACAAGAGCTGACTGACTGACATCCAATCCACCAAATCATCGTCCAGTCAAAGTTAGACCGAAAAGCTAGGCGCTTTGCATTCACGTCATCCTCGTTCCACTTGCGGGTGCTTTTCCAACTATTAGCCGCACATACTCTACGTCTTGGTAGGTCAACGATACCCGGAACTTTAACCACATCTCTAGTTCGCTGCAGAATCGTCTCAGGAAATTGTTGAGGCCAGATCAATAGCCCCAGCTTTGCCTCACCTGATTGAAAGCCCGAATTGTCATCGCGCCGTTGATGCTCTCTGAAAAGTGGTGAATGACCGGAGACTTGGTCACGGAATCGATGCGGGTAAGCTCCCGAGACGTGTGCAAAAAGTAGTTCTGCAAGGATGACAGAGCACTGGTTCAGAGCAACGTGAAGAGCCGTAAGAACTTAGAAGTGTTCCAAAGGACTTCGGAAGAAGGAATGACACATGAGTCGACTTGATCACGATCTCCATGCGGGTAAGCTCCCGAGACGTGTGCAGAAAGTAGTTCTGCGTGAATAACAGAGCAATCATTCAACGGGCCTTTAGATAGAAACGATGCGCAAGACTCTCAAAAGGTAAGAAGCAGGACTTTGATATACCGAACATATTCTCGCCCTTTGATTTGCATAGATGATCGCCATCGGAAGCACAAACTACCGCCACGACTCCGAAGTGTTGGAAGTTAAGCGCAAAGATATGAGAAGAAAAGTAAGAAAGGAAGGCGACTCAAAGGAAAAGCTCACCCCTAGTTGTATGTAGATGAACGCCAGCGGTAGCACGACCAGAAGTAAGCTCGGCGTAACAGCACAAACCACGGCCATAACGCCGAAGAGTTGGAAACCGAGCGCGAGCGTGCTTCCGCAGCGAAACGGGAGCTCCGAGTCGAGCACGCCCTGATCGTTTGAGGACCTGCGTATGAAGGATACGATTGCAAAGCTCTTCAGAGGAATTCACACATGTGGGTCTTGCTTGAATCATCTGCCATTTCAAACGGCTCTTAAGATGACGCCCGGTTCATTGGAGAACTTAGGGGGGAGAACACGTGGCAGCAAAATCACTGGCGCAGATAACTCTTCTTGACAACAGTACAGGTTTCCAGGAGGGTTTGCACGGCATCAACGGACTTTTGGTTGACGTGGCTCAGCCGTCGGCCTACTTGAAACAGTCCGGTCTGAAGACGAATTTGCGAATACAAATCTCAAACGACATGCACGAAAATGCAGTGAAAGAAGAGTAGGCGCTTGGCTCAGAGTCCGAGCAGTGTATACATTCAAACAGATACTCTTTCTAAAAGTAAAGCCATGCAAAGGGCCAAGAGAACGCTGAGTTCATGGACGTCTTGAGCCCTCGTGATAGCCCACCTGTTCAAGATGCGGCCCGAGGGCGTGGAGTCGAAGAACGCCATTGGCGCCCTGAAAACCGCGTGCAGCATGCTGTCAAAAAACGCCTTTGCGGTCGCAAGCCCCGAAAAGGCAATCAACGTGGACCTGCGGAGAAAGGTCGACGTCAATAACCCTCGGCACTGACGTCAGCAAGATGACACACCATTTCATTCACAATGTACCGAGAGGGAAGCCATGGACGTCGCCGCTCCAAAGAAGGCACAAGTCGACCTGCCGGAATCGAGTGACGTGAGCAGACAGCATAATGACGGCAGAAGAATGATGGGAGTACAAGACGAAGCGAGCTCTCATAAGGCGTGGACAGTCCTGTAAGTTGCAAATGCGTTAACGACATGCTTGAATCCACATTCTGATCACAAGAGGCCTATTCCCTTCGCACGAGAAACAAGTGTGCACAATTCAGTGCCGGTACAGCGCAGAACGAAAGTTGAAAACAGAAGTAAGGTAGAGACGGATACAGCCCAAGCAGGCACCCAACCGCAAATCTTATTGTGCTTCTCGCAGATTCCTATTTAAGTCGATAAAGAGGAAAAGGAAACAGGTTCCCCTGAACTCCCCGGGACGCGTTAAGTATTGCATAGTACATCACCAACAGAGCGTGATCTCCGATTAAGTGTCGGGGATCTGTGGTGTTCCCTTCGAACGTCGAGTTTGCAACTGAGAATCAAGGAGGAAAAAGAAAGAAGAGGACAGAAAAGGAAGTTCGAACCTACTCACCGGAACAGGACAAAAATCCCACTGGACATCGCAAGCAGAGCGTAGACTCCAATGAGTTGCCGTGGGTTTGTGGAGCTCTGGAGCTCTCTTTCAGACGTCAAGTGCACAAACAACGGAGGGAAGAAAGTGGAACAGCTCACAATGACGATTGCACTTACCGGAACAAAACAAAGATTCCGCTGGACATTGCCAACAGAGCGTAGACTCCGATGAAGTGCCGAGGGTTTGTCGTGCTCTCTTCCGACGTCGAGTGGGCCAGCCACCAGTCGCTGGAAATCTGGAGGCCTTGCCAGGCGATCTGTATAAGTATAAGGGCCGGCACGTGCGCTCCTCGGAGGACCTTGGTGGCGTACGCTATGTACACGCCGGGATCCACCCGTCCAGTCTGCAGGTGAGCAACGATACGGAATGAAATAGAGTCACTTTTGCTGGTTCCTAGGGCGGTTTCTATAACTGAAAGCCTTTCACAAGCGTCCAGCTTTGCCTGAACTCCCGGTCTGTCTGACGTGGCAGCTCCTGAAAAAGACACCACTTTGAGCAGACTTTGAAATAACCGGAAATTGGTCGAATTGTGCGAAATTAAAACTCAGATTGGAAAGCTGCATCAATCTATGCAAAGGGAACGCGGTCGACGAGGGATCCGGGAATAAGGGACTTTATTTAAGGGCCGGGTCGGTCTTGAACGGTCGATTTAGACCTCCGCAAAGTGCCGCCGGTTTGCCGGGCGCATTGACTTAGCAAGTATGCTTGGGGCCTCGCAACTTGTACGCTGTTTGGTGCACTGCGAGGCTGATCCGGTGACTTGGGTAGATTTTTTTGAAACTGGTCTCTAGAACCTCGGTGATGTGGGAGAAACCCTGAATCCGGTCTTGATAACCTTGGTTTCGAAAAGCTAAGCCCGTACCTCTTTCTCCTCTTCTTGAACCAATTGTGCGGCAGCCTTCCTCTGCGCTTGCGTTGCTTTAAACGGCCCTGGTTTTCTGGGGCTCTGAGGTTTGCCCCCACTCTCGTTCCGTAGCAGCGGTCGTTCCAGGGTGTAGCTCTTCCGCCGCTCCAAACTCACGTGGACCGGACTTTCCGGAAGAAGGGCGTCGGGGAGAGCGTCCGACATGTCCTCCGACAACACGTCACTGCAGACGAATCCAGATTGTCAATGCGTAAGTTTCACGTCTTGAATCCTTCTTGACTTTGTCGCTGTCTGACACATATCTGGTTTCCCTTCAGAAAGTCAAGGTTTCTGAGCGTTAGAGTGTGGATTTGGCAACGTTTTCGTCGCTGAAAGATCACGTCGACTGGCCTCCGGAAATTGCGGTCGGAGAGAGCGTCCGGCATGTCGTCCGGTAAAACGTCACTGCGGATCAGGTCGGGATTTCTTTTCAGGTTCAGGTTTCTGGGTCCGATTCAATTCGGGCATTCCGTCGGTAGTGTTCGCAACTGTTCCGTCTTGGGTTGAGGTCGCAATAGCAGACTCTCCAATAAGAGCGTCCCACATGTCCGAGAAAACTTCACTGCAGCTAGATCGGGTTGAGTTCTCAGGGACCGAGTTTCAGGGTAGTATAGATCTTTCGGCGCATCAAACCTTCGTTGAGAATCGCTTTGTAAGGTCAACTGAACGGATTGTCCAAAGAAGGGCGTCGCAGAAAGCTTCGACCTGTCACAGACTGGATTACTTTCGTCCTCTCAGACCCTCACATCTGTTCGGCAGCCGGCTGTAACTATTGGCAATGCACCAGCAATTGCCCAAAAAGCTGTCCTTTCCCTTTTCCAAGATACGAACCTTCAGTCGCCTCCATTTAATATCCACAAAAAACACTTTCCCCCCGGATGAACACACCGTCTTCGTCGGGTAAGCACTCACTCCGTTTCGGCTGTTGTACTTTCCACCGCACCCCCCTCGTTTCGCTCCTCTCCGGTGGCCCCCATTGCGGAGTGGTGCGCCGCAACCAACTCCGTCAAGTCCGTCCCCTTGGCAATCAACGCCTCGTAACTGCCGCTTTCGGCAATAACCCCGTCCTTGACCACCACGATCAGATCGGCCGCTGGTAGAAACTCGACCTGGGGGGTTTGACGGAAGGATTGAGCCAATTGCTCTTGCAGTACGAGACACCCATGTAGCAGGGAAAACTGGTAATCATTGCTGAGACGGGCTGTGTGACACTTTGCTGAGCTGCTTCAGAAGATGCAAAATACTAGATCAAGGAAAAAGACCGCAGCTCTTGTCGGACCCAACGTGGGAACACTGACTCGCATCTCGGGCTCGCTTGCTTAGGAAGCCGAGACTTCGTGTTACTTTTGCCGAACAGAAGATATTGAAAACAGTGGCCAGAAATCCGAAGAGGGTAATTTTGATGGATAGCAGCAGCGGCAGTTCGCCACGGACGGGCAGGCAAACCATTGCGACAGGACCCGTGTCAACTATTTACCGCATACATAGAAGAGGGAAGGGATTTTTTGTAGACGTAGGTGTCGCCTGAAGGGAGAGAAGAACACCAAATGCAGACACAAGTCCACCTTATCTCTAAAACGACGGTTTCCAGAAAAGCAATCCCCTTCCCAAGCGTGTCAAGAAGGAATCGGTAGAACAATGTCTGCGCAAGACTTGAAATAGTCAGTACGGACAGCGAAACAGAAATCGTCCTGAAACGTGACCAGCACTACTGATTCAACCCCACAGCTATGGGGATGCATTCGGCGGAGTCTTCCATTCTGGTGTTGGTATCGACAGCACTCAACGGAATCTGAGTAGAGCGACAGAAATCTGACCTGATGGGTGACCAGCACCACTGTTTTCTGCCCCAGAGCTCCGGCAATGCATTCCGTGAAGAGTTCCGTTCCGGTGTGGGCGTCCACGGCGCTGAACGGATCGTCCAGCAAGTACGTGTCTGCGTCATGGTAGACGGCACGTGCAATTTGAATGCGCTGCTTCTGGCCGCCGGAGAGGTTGATGCCCCGCTCGCCAATCTCGGTTTCATCGCCTGCAAACATTCAAAGGGCGTTCAGGCTTCAAGAGCATGAGTATTGGAAACTGTTTCTGTATTAGGAAACTCCGTCTGCGCTATTTTCAAGTCGCCTAAGAGACGAAATCCGCTTTCATGTGTTCATATGTAGCCTGCAAATCTTGGGAAAAGAGTAGGGGAGTACGTCTGAAAGTTCCTAAGAAAAGGAGACAGTCTGGTTGCGTCGCTGCTTGGCGATGTCGTGGAAGGAAGTGCGAAGAGCTGAACCGGGCCAATCATACAGGTGGTACAGTGAGTAATAGAGCCTTCGTCACTTGTCTTAGAGAAGTAGAGCTCTCGAGAGCGACACCGCTGACTGGACGACACGAGCGCCAAGTCCTTCCCCATTACGATCCCCCTTTCATCAGCGATCACTCCGTACCGATTCCGGAATTGGATGGGCGTCCGTAGCGTGTAGGACAAGCGAGCAATCTGAAAACTTCACGGGATTCCCTGCGATATATATCAGTCTCGATTGTCTTCGACACCTCGACTGCAAGAGCTGTCCGATAGAGAACCTGGTTTTGAATTTTCGACATCAAAAAAATGCAGATAGCCAAGCCGAGTCGGTGACACAGTCGGTATGTGTGCAAGGACGGGCATCCCTCCAACACAGGGATGTGGCGCTTTCGAGAAGGAAAAGGCTCAGGACGATGTGGCTCGCTTTCGTAGAAACAAATGCCACAGGGAAATAGCGCACTTGGGTGTGAAAAGGCTCACCGTGCGACATGAGCGCCAAGTCCTTCTCCAGTGCGGACACTTTGACGACCGTTTCGTAGCGCTCCGGGTCGAACGGACGTCCGAACAGGATGTTGTCTTTGATGGACGCGTTCTGGATCCAGGCCGTCTGGCTGACGTAAGCGATGCTGCCACGTACCGTCACCTGGAAGCAGAGAACAGAATGGGATGTATTTTAAACGTTGGACGTGCGGACGCTTATTCTTGCAAGAATAAGCGTACACACGGTTCCTGAAAAGAATTGAGTTTGCGAAAGAATAGGCTTCCTGCAGAACAAAAGCTAGTGTCACTCAGAAACGCGTCCTGGGTATGAACGTGCGGCTGACGTAAGCAATGTCATCACGCACCAAATGAAGGAACCAAACCCGCGCATGCAAACCGCATCTCGCTGGCTGAGAAGATGAGCAGAAAATGAGTGTGACAAGGATCCCAAGTGAAGTGAGCACCTGCGGAACGGAAGATGCACGTGGTCCATGTTCTACGGGTCTGGCTGACGTAGGCAATACTGCCACGAACCGTCATCTGGCAGAACCAGATGAAACAGATGTCCAAACAGGTAACCAAAGACCAGCAAAAGTTGGCCAAAATCACGTAGAGAAGCGGCTCCCGCCGGAGAAGCGCTCACCACGAGGAAGCATTGTCACATGACATGGCGCCAACTCGACTAAGTTCACGAGCATACTCCACCCCCCGTTCCCTGCTTTGACATTGCAAACAAAGAGACAGACAGTCGGTGCTTCGCGACTAAGTGCGAAGTCTTCGGGATCTCCGTATTCCAGTGTAGTATACACTTACCTCGCCACCATTCAATCTCGGCACCTCCCCCAATATGCACGACAGCAAGCTCGACTTCCCGCTCCCCACGCTTCCAACAACCCCAGATTCTTCAAGTTCACGCCTCTTCCTCCCCTAGAAGTCTCAGAGTAATCTGGAACAGTTGCTGGCGCCTGACTCAATAAGATCAGACGATAGTATACAAACCTTTACCTCGCCGGTCAATCTTGGCACCTCCCCCAATATGCACGACAGCAGGCTCGACTTCCCGCTCCCAACACTCCCCACAACCACCACAAGCGATTTCGGCCATTATTTCAAGGCAATTATCAAAAGCTGCACTTAAGGACGAAAAGCCGCACTACACGCACTTGCACGGAAGCAGGTGGGGGGATCATCGATCTTACCTCGCCACCTAATTTTGGCACCTCCCCCAGTATGCACGACAGCAAGCTCGACTTCCCGCTCCCCACGCTTCCAACAACGGCTACAAGCGATCCCGCGGTGATCTCCAGATTCACGTCCTTCAGCGTCGGCCGTTCTTCCACGCTATTTGTATTCCACTTGAACGTGCCGTTCTTGATTGAGATTACGGGGGCCTCTGGGGGCGCCACGTGGCCGTTTGTGAGTGGACGGTACGTGACGGCGTCGGACTGGAGCTCCTCGTCGTTGAGGTATTTGTTGAGGCGGTCGACGGAAACCAGCGCTTGGACGATGTATGTGACCAACTGCGAAAGTAAGCATAAAGTGTATATAGTTTTGGCTGGTCCAGCAGTTCATCGGCAACAGTTGAGGAACCCTACAAAGGCAAGGTTATTGAAGGATGAAGTACGTGTTAAGGCGGTCGACGAAGCCAGCCCTTGGACGTTGCAATAACCAACTGCACAATCGAACCCGATTGATTGGTCGGCTGTGAACGTCAGCGGTTGTACACTATACAGAGTAGTACCGGTGGACGACCATCCATTAAAATCACAAGCAATATTACGAATGACAAATTCTTGGAGATGGAGTGTTTGTTTGGTCGTGAAAGCCGCGCTTGGACAACGTATGCAACCATCCGCGAAATCAGAATGGACGACTTTCAGCAGGATCGGGATCGTGGCCATTGCCCAGAAAACACATGCCATCATGAAGGTGTCCCTGCAAGACGCACGTGCCTCTTCTAAAGGTTGGGTTGTTCTGAAGCTTCCAATTGAACAGGATTACTAGGGTTGCTGACCGTCGGATTGACTGAAGGGGTTTATTGAGTCTCCTGAAGGTGACAACTGCGTTTGACGATACGTGCAATTGTAAGAAGCCTCCCCGCAAGAGGGCATTCCGTGAAGGTGGAAAACGACCTGATCCTAAACGTTGTCAAAAACAAGGGAGTCCCTGGGCTTCTTGCCGTCGGGAACGATCGGAGTGGTTCTTTTAGTCCTTGTTGGTCCCTTTTCACTGCCAGTGAGGACTCGCGCCAGCGTAAGGGGTGTCCCGTCCAACAACACGCCGTGAAGGTGAAACGGAAGAGTCCTTCCAAGAGCGGAATTCAGATTAGAAAGCAAAATATAGGAACTTGTTCCAGTGCTTACTGTCGGGAACGACCAAGGACGTTCTTGGAGTATCCTGAAGGTAGCAATGGCGGTAAAGACTTGTGCGACCATATAAGGTGTCCCCGCAAACGCACACGCAGTAAGGACCGGACACATTACTTCAAGATTTTCACTAGTCAGAAAAGGCAGAAAAGAGGTGACTTTGCTTACTATCGGGAATGACCGTAGAGGTTCTTGCAGTATCCTGAAGGTAGCTATGGCGGTAAAGACTCGCGCCACTCCAAGAGGCGTCCCGCAAAATCGTACGCCGTTAAGGTGAATGCGAGATTGACTGCTTTACAAATTGGAGAAAGAGAAGCAATAGATATGAACCCGTCAAGTGCTTACCGTTGGGAATGACCGCAGCGGCTCTTGAAGTATCCTAAAAGTAGCTATGGCGGTGAAGACTCGGGCGACGGTAAGAGGCGTCCCCGCAAAGACGCACGCCGTGAAGGTGAGGACGGAAACCGCAAGGGGGGACAGCCACAGCAGAAAGATGTTGCCCGCGCTCAGGTACATGTAGAGGCTGAGCTGGGCGAATTCTTGGCCCCTCAGCTCTTCTATCTTTTCTCTGCAGATTAACCGAAGGCGCAATCAGTTTCTCAAGTTATCGACGACAATTGTCATTCAAAACATAGGTAAAAAGGGGCAGAATCAAGGCAGGGAGATCATGCCGGCGCTTCAGGTACATGTAGAGGATGAGCTAGGCAGACTCTTGGCCCCTCGGTTCTTCTCTTATCTTTCTGCACAAAAGAGGGCGGACATAGAATCTCTTTCCAGAAGGAAGAGGAGTTGTTCTGAAACGATTCGAATCACACGGGAGAATACCAGAGCAGGGAGATGTTGCCGGCAGGAAGGAAACACTTCGCCAAAAGGATCAACAGCGCCGAAAGCATTTTTGTCCCAAGACAGCCCAAAGCTCGGCCACAGGCATGAAACGTGTCCAAGTAACCATCGGCCAGCTGTCCCGAATCAAGAAAAGCACCCCATACGTTTCCAACTTATGTAACGACAATGAACATATTTTCGACAAATGGAACCTTGAGAACTTTCAACGGCAAAACTTTAGCGTTCTGTTTAGAGAGGCCGAGTTTGCAGAGCATCAACAGTTTGCACACCTGTATTTGCCCTCCCACGCGTGCAGCTTGATGATCTTCATGTTGTTCAGACTCTCCGTGGTGGCTTTCATCCGCTTATCTTTCGCTTCCATCAAAGCTTTCTGCAATCACCGAAGAGATAGTCTTCCGTGAGACGACCATCTTAAACTGGCTTGAGATCGCAAGATTTAGAGGATGAAAGAGGCAAAAGCGGGTGGGTCTCCGAACGTTTCAAATCTTACAATACCTCTGCACAGCTCCTTTGAAAGGCGATGAACCATTCGGAGCTTACGAAGACGCCATCAAAAGTGGATGCAAGCTTCGTGCCTTGCTGCGCATCAGGATGGTCAGCTTAGCGAGGCGGATTTTGTTACAAACGGAACTCAGTCGAGTAAAACGTTCGGAGCCTACAGAGAAAACATCCAGCGAATGCAAGATTCGAAGCATGCTGCACCGATCATGGTCAGCTTAGCGGGGCAAAAAAGTGGAGATGTGAAAAAGACGGAGTCTCAGACGAGATAACGATGCCGGGATACACTGTTTCCAATTGCTCAACTAAGTGGGCTGTTCACTTCATTTTTCTTAGAAGGAGAAACATGCAATGCTTGCAAGAAGGCAGTGATGCCGAACCGAACAGCTTCTGCCAGCGGAGCCGCCGCAAAGGCAAACGAGTAAATGCAGAACGAACAAGAAGCTGACGGCGCATCTCAGAAGCTGACCTGAAGCTTCCGCTGCCAGCGCGCAATGATGAAGTTGAGCGTCATGATGAAGACCATTGTTGCGAGGCCGGCCAGCATCGAAAGCCCGACAACCTGCAAAAGAAACACACCGATCCTAAGAAGTCTCAAGGAAAATCTTACAGATATTTGTTGATGCGGAGGAACTTTATATGCTTCTGAATTGCAGAAATTAAGGGTCTACTCATGCATGGAACACCCCTTGACAAGACGTGGACTTGACGAAAAGAGTTGTTCTGGGCTGGTGCGTTTTTGAGAGTGACACGGACGCCCTTGGCAAATCTGAAACGGATGGCCCGGTTGCTAGTACTACAGGTTCCCCGCCCCTCAACCTTTTGCATGGGTATTTCTTAGCCGTCTGGAGGCAGAAGAGGGAGAAGAGGAAACGAAAACGAGATGAGTATGGAAAAAGCCATTCGGTGCCTGAGGTCTACCAAAAATAGATTATGAACGGAATGACGACTTTCCAGCGGCACACCTCAAACGTCGTTGATCACTTCCTTGGCCCAACTCTACGCTCCAAACGTTACGCAAGGCAGAAAGCAGGATAAAAACATAAGGATGAGGAACAAACAGACGAGCAACGTGGATTGACGGCAGAAGAGGAAGAAGAAAAGAGAGAAAAGAAGACAGGCGGCAATCGGAGCCTACCTAAGAAAGAATTACCAGATCTATCGCACTTGAAGCGGCAGACTCCAGACGTCGTTGAGCTTGTTCTGTGGCGCAACTCCGATCATATGATTGCTGGCAGTGATCGAGATGGAACGAAAGCGGGACGGAAAAGAGTGAGCAATCAGCAATGGTAACTAGGGACGGCAGCAACGGGAGGCCCACCTGGAAAAGGATCACCAAAGCAATCGCCACCTGGAGCGGCAGGTTCCAGACGTCGTTGAGCATGTAACTCGTGTCAGACAGTCGGGGAGCGTCCGTCGCCATGTAGTTGATGATCTCGCCAGCCGTGTGGCTCTGCCGCGCCTTGGAAGATAAGCGCAAACCCTGCAAAGAGTGAAAACCTTCATCAACTTCAGACTTAAGCCTTGCGAAAAGGTTGAAGGCTCTGTGGTTGATGATCTCGCCAGCTGTGGCTCTCCGGCCAGCCTCTGAAAACAGTCGCAACTTTTGTAGGAACCGCCGACTTCTCGAAGGCTCTGGATCAAATCTCGCGCGAACATGCACAACGTCTGCCTCGACCCACCGAGTTGTTGATGGGAGCGATACGGCTCTGCTGCGTCTTTGTCGGCAGTTGTAAACCCTACGGAAAGATTCAGCATCTCCAAGATTGAGCTTACCCTCAAATCAGATCTGACGACAGAAAGAATGGAAGGTCGCACTTGAAGGACCGGGACGTTAAGAATAACGCCAGCGGTAAGCTTCCCTCCCCTTCTGTACAAGGCTGAGGTCAAGCAAACTTGATGAACATCCCTAAGCGGGCGCAGTTGAAAGTGTCCTAGTGATCTTTCACCGTCACAAAGGCAAGGTTACCTTGACATCCACACGGTTTCCTCACAAAATTGTAGACAGCTTGATCGGTGCAGACTTGAGCTATCTGCGCACACGGGCGCAGTACTTGTCACAAAACCCTCGGTTATGTATCAAACCCACACAAGTGGCTTCGCCTTTCCTTAGACGCCTGCGATCAGCGCAGACTTGACGTAGATGCCTGACGGCACGCAGTGAAATTGTATGGGTGCACCGTGATCGTCGCAGAGACAAGGTTCTCTCCTAACCCACGCGCTTTCCTCACCTTCCTGTAGACAGCTGCGGTCAGCGCAGACTTGACGTACATGCCTAACCGCGCGCAGTAGAAGTTGTACTGGTGCTCCGTAATCGTCTCGAGAAACTTGCACGCGAAGAGGACGGCGACCAGAACGTAGCCCTCGCCTTCAAAATGCCTCACGCCAGCTGCGGAACGAAGAAGAAGACCAACTTTGACGCAGCCGCAATCATCTCTGCAAAACCTTTCATACGAACAGGATTCAAGGCCTCCCGAAATGGTCGGCACAGATGCGCATGGTGCAGATTGGGAGACGTAGTGGTGCTCGGTCACTGTCTCTTGCATGCGAACCAGAAAGCGACAAAAAAAGCAGCCCGTCTCTTAAAAGTTTCTCACAGTTGCTGCACGATGCCAGGTACACTCTTTTTTTGCCGCGTTCTACTTCATTTTTCCTGAGTCCAGTGGGCTTCACTCTAGGTGTGCAGATCGATGAGCTAGGGTCCGGCTCCGACCAAGAGGCTGGGGTTTGACTTACGCTTCAGTTTCGATCACTTGGTCAAACCATTGGGTTCTACAAAGCTGTTCCACGATGCATGACAGCCACATTCATGGGCGACCGCCCAGCACCGCTGAGGAGTACCACTGAAAACGCGGGAACAGGAGCCACCAGAACCTTCTCCAATTGATGCATCACCAAAAAGAAGAGGGAGAACAAGGAAAGACGAAAAGGGACCGGAATAATTTGAACGAGTTGCAATCTCACCCGTGTACTCCACCAATCGGTTTAGCAACACTGGTCCCGCATACATGACCGCCGTCTTGATGAGCGACAGTGCCGCGCTGCTGACCAGCACCGACCAGAATCCGGCGAACAGGGCCTTCAGAACCCCCGGCTTTTGCCCCGGTTGCTCGGCCTTCTGGTTGTCCCAACACAGCTTGAAACGCTGGTAGCACCCGTCAGAACGGTCCTGAAGAGGAAGTCAAAACGCTCGGTCCATGGGAATCTCACAGTTTGTGGAATCACCGACCAGAACCCAGCGGACAGGGCCTTCCGAACCCCGGGCTTTTGCCTCGGTTGCTCGGCCTTCTGGTTGTCCCAACACAGCTTGAATCGTTGGTAGCATCCATCAGAACGATCCTGCAAAGCGGGCCGGAAAGCTCAACTGTGGACTTACAATTAACCTTACACAACCACCCTATACGAACGAGGCTTGAGAACCGGGGCTGCTGTCCCCGTTACGCGGCTTTTCCGGTCGTCTAACACAATCTGAATCGTTTTTTCGACGAAACGTGGCCAACGATTTCAACTCTCAAATGCATCTAAGTCCAAAAGTTTCGGTGTCGTCTCAAAATATTACCGTTTTGGCGCAAGATAGACGCAAGACTACATGCTCCACTATCCGTGACTTCGGGGAGTATCGCCCATTTCAAGCAATCTCTGACGCCCAAGCACGAACGACGATAAGAGCCACGCATAAGTTTTGAAAAGTATAATTTTGGATTGCTATTGCACTTTTCTCCACTGGTAGCTGAGGCTAACAAAATGGATGGAGAAACCCAGACCCAGTTACTCACCTCCCACGACAACTTGGGTATATCGTCGACTTCAAGCGGTCGCTGCCGTCCAAGCACCAGCAACGGATTCAGCCACGCAAATGTCAGCGTGCTCCATAGACCCGCCTTTCGGAACTGGCTGACTCCCGGGTCTTTTGAGGTTGGTTCCGGTTCCGGTCCGGTTCCGTTGGCTCCGGTTCCGTCCTCCAGGTCGTCGTCGAGGAGCTGCTCCCGGAAGTGGTCGGAGGACTCGAGGGCCACTGAGATACCTGCGGGATTGCGATATTGGCTGTTTTCAAATGGATGTTAGTTACTTACAGATTATCACTTACAAAGGTCTTGCGGGACGTTGTAGAGGTCCTTTTTATCGTTCTTACAATCTGCTTTTTTCAATTGCGGACAGTCTATTGAGGGTCCACCTCGCTTGTGAAGTGGGTGGGTTACGAGATCGACCACGCCAGCGTGACAATGCTCCAACCCACTAAAAAGCTTTCAAACGTCCGGTTGTCAACCTCGATTTAACCTGCCAAGATGGCTTCGACCCCAGCCTTTTCAATTGGCAGGAACTCGGCAGGAATGTCGGATTAAGTCCGCGGATGAACAAGGACCCAAGTCAAATGTCCCGAGCTGAAGCGCTGGTCCAGGCGGCCAGGAAAGGTATTGAAAGTCAGAGCTTCACCTCTTTCGCCCGTGAGCGGATTGAGGCCTGGGAATGGGTCGGACTCCAAACAAAACCTTGATCTTCCAGCTTCAATCGGCTTGCAGGCCAGAAAAGGGGGGCTTTTACTTGAGAAATATGTAATTCTGAAGGTCCTGGGGAGCTGTGAGGGCGGCTTGGCGTTGGGGTCACGAAGGCAGCTGCTATTATATTATAACTACGAGCATTTGAAACCCGGATATAATCAGGGACTGAACTCGTACCTCAAACGTACCAAGTGAAAAGTATCTACCTGTCCTCCCGGAGTATGCAGTAACGGTTACGGGCAGCGTCGCGACATTGAAGCAATTTCGTATGAACTTTACCATTTCGTGGGAGGCACGTGCAGCGTCGCACCGTTGAAGCAGTCTTCCACGAAGGTCTACCCTTGAGGTGACACACTCCAAAAACAGAACCTCGCCACTTCCAGTTAGGACAGCATCTACCAAATGGTGCAAACAGAGAAGCCCCTTACCTGTCCTTCCGGAATAAGCAATGACTGCCAGGCAGAGAGTGACAGGTAGCATGGCCACGTTGAAGCGGTTTCTTACTAAGATTACCATCTTGTTTGTGACATAAAGATCTCACTGCTCAATCTAAAATGATGTCTCGAAAAACACAAGGTCGAATGTCCCCTACCTGTCCTTCCTGAATAAGCAATGACCGCCAGGCAGAGAGTGACCGGTAGAGTGGCCACGTTGAAGCAGTCGTCCACGGCATGGTACGACCCGGGGTGAAAGTTGTGCTCGACAATGCGATCAGCGGCAAGGAAGGCGAGAAAGAGGCTGACTAGGAAGTTGGCGATCCACCAGGCCCTGTAGGAAGGTGACACGTGTCAGCCTAGGAATCGCTTCGGTAGTGGCATTTTCCGTACAACAACCCGGGGTGGGACTTGTGCTCGGCGATACGGTCGGGGGCCAAGAAGGCGAGAAAGAGGCTCACTAGGAAGTTGGCGATCCACCAGGCCCTGTAGGAAGGTGACGCGTGTCAGCCTAACAAGCGCTGGGGTAGTGGCGATTCCAAACAACAACTTGGGGTGGGACTTGTGCTTGGCGATACGGTCGGCAGCCAGAAAGGCGAGAAAGAGGCTGACTAGGAAGTTGGCAATCCACCAGGCCCTGTAGGAAGGCGACACGTGTTAGCCTAAGATCCACCTAGGTAATGGCATGTTCACCCCCCTGGGATGGGAATGGTCTCCAATGATGCAACGAACGGCCCAAATGGCAACAAAGAGGCAGACGCGACAGCTGGCAACCAACCAGGCCCTGTCGGAAACCGACACGTGTCACTGATGCTAATCCACGCTGACGTCCTTTAGAGTCACAATTAACGACACGGGGTATCGTGAACCGCTTCTTATTGAACGCCAGGAAGATGCAGAAAAGCCTGACTGAAGAACTAACGTCGCCACCCGTCAGGCCAAGTATGAGGGAGGACAGGTGTCCGTGATACAGTCTGCTCAGGCCGGCTGATGTCCCAAAATGAACAAGTCTCGATTTTATGTTGACTTAGATGTATATTGAGTTAGATCGAGTCCCCGGGCTCAAATACCCAAAAGCTAAACCGAAAGTTAACATGCTCCGCACCCGTACCCACCCTAAACCCCCAAACCAACCCCACCCGTCCCCCGGGTATGACCTAACTCAACATAGCCGTAACTCAACATAAATTCGATACTACTCCAAGATGACCCGAGGTGGAATGGTTAATTTCTGCCAACGAAATCGCACGCCAGAAACGTGAATAACGAGCGGGGAAAAAGCTGCCCCCCTGCTGCGCTCAGCTCACCGCCCCCGCAAACGCCCCAATAAACGAACAAACGCAGTGCACCGTCCCTCGACCAAGTGTGAAAGGAGTAAGACAGGGAAGTCATTGAGAGCGAATCAAAGCAAGAAGCGCGACATCTACACTCCAAACGGGGGGAAGAACGGCCTCTTCCCTCTCGTCAATGAGGAGTAGAGTCTTTGCAACCCAAGAAGGGTGGAAGGATTGAGAGGGAATACGAGATCAGACCGAGCTTTGGGGTCGTTCTGTGCCTAATCGGAGGCGAGGGTTAGAAAGGCCGCCGTTGGCGTTACCTTCTCCCCTTCGAAAAAGATATGTCTGCTGCGCCCCTCTAACGATTGAGGGGGGTTCATTTGAAGGGGAATCAAAGAACGAACTAGGCAAAATCTAACCTACCTCATCGGAGGCGAGTGGAAGAAAGCCCCTCGCTGCCGCTCACGGTTTACCGCCCCAGCCATCTGGAAAAACGCGATGCATTGCGCCCCGACAAACGCCGCTTCGTGAACGGGAACGTTCCCCCAGTGAGGGTGCTCGAAGCCGCCCTTCCAGGCCAAGAGAAGCCGCCATGACGTCATTATGAGGTAAGCCGCGGCGCCGAGTGACGTCAAAATGAGCGCGAGCCAGTAGCGGGTGCTGTAGTTGGGAACCGGAACGAGGGAGATGCCACTCCGCCAACTGGAGGGATGAGATGCTAGATCGTCAAAACGAGACCGTTGCCCTTCCGCGCTATCTTTCTGAAAAGAATTGGTTTCGTAAGAGTCTTCCGCAGTCAAACAAAGAGAGCGGCAAGCAGAGATGCGCTTTTCAGCGGTGCAATTTTGCACCGGCCGGGCGTTTTGCTCCTTTTTGACTCAAGTAGCACGTGCATTTGAAAGACGAATGGGGGGGTCCCAATCAGAACCCTGAAGCGACTGCCCTGGGTAAATAGTTTCAGAGGATATTCGAGCGAGACACGAAATTAGAGAAACCTCGAACAAGCGGGGAAGAGAAGACCGGTTGCTATCTTTGAAGGGAATACCCGTCACAAAAGGGTTCCGCATAGGCAATTGGTTGAATGCGAACAGCACAGTGAAAATACCACGGCCTATGCACGCACAGCTCCTGAGAGCTGCGCAATGTGAAATTTCTTGTTTATGCCACAAATAAAGCTGGGGACAATCAAAGAAACCAGATGCGGAAGAGAGCCACCTAGTGACCATCAGTTCTGTGTGCTCTGATCGTCTGGAAGCCTATTCGTTTATAGCGGATTCGGTCAATCGCATACAGCCCAGCTTTTATCAGATGCGGACCAGCGCAAAAGCAAATGCTGGTAAACCTCAAACAGCTCGCGATCAACCGTATGGTGCACTGCCACCGCACAGAAAGCTTGTTCGTTTTCGGCGGGTTGTCCATGTCAGCTCAACATCTTGGCGGAGCGGATCAGCACCAAACGAAGAAGCTTATGCGCTTCCCGAAGCTAGATGTGAGGAGAGAATACCTGGTCATTGACCTCCCGGTGTACTCCCACCGCCCCGAGATTTGGTTCATGTACGGCAGCGACTCCACTCTCCGGAAGCAGCACTTGCGGAGCGTCCGGTAGATGAGGACGAGCGTGAAGAAGAAGACGTGCATGAGAACGACAAGTGCGTGCTGCGCGCAGTGAGATCGTACGAGGGCGGCGAGCCAGTCGGAGGAAGAGGGGGAGGACAGAGTATCTGCGGGAGACGTGAGAGAAAGAGATCATACGCATGTGCTACAAAACAGAGTAGACTACGGAAAAGCAATCACAATCTGTGTTGAGGAGAGGAAATCTTGGAAATCAAAACAGGAGTGGATCGGAAATTGAAAGAAATGCAGAAGGAGATGTCCGTAAGAAGAATAGAGCGGAACGTGACCGGAGGAGCGCAGCGAGCCAGTCGGACGTGGAGGAAGTGGATAGAGTACCTGGTGAAATAAGAGAGACATACTTAATTTCGTTTCTCAAACAGACTTTACAAGGGGAAGAATGACAAGGATGACTGGTGGATGAGGACAAATCGTGAAGAAGAAACGGTGCATGCCAACGATGAGTGCTCGTTCCGCGTAACAAGGTCGGAGGAGGGCGGCAAGGGGCATGGCGGGGGCGGATAGGGAACCTTCCAAGGGGAAGATGTTTGCAAATACGCTCTCGAAACAGACAGTACATTTTGGAGAAAGGATAGGAGTCAATGTTACACAAGGAACAGCGTAGAGAAGAAGACGTACATCAAACCGACATGCACATGCTGTGCGCATTGGAGGGTAGTGAGGCGGGCGGAAGAGGAGGGACCGGTCATAATGTGTGCAACAGATTGATTACACTTTGTCGACATGCACAGTCGTTTCCTTGAAGACAGGACTGGATGATCGATTGGTGTGAACCGTATGCGAACGAAGACAGAAGACGACACGAGTACGTTGGACGAAGACGAAAGGAAGTAGAGGGGCAACCCAGGCAGAAGGGGAAAGGGCCATACCAGGCGCCTCCGAAGCTTTTGTGGTGTAAGAGTGCACCAACCGCATCAGTATAAAGGGTGCATCCGAATGATAATCCGAGGAATCCAAGGGGGGCGGTGCGAGTACCTTGAATGACTGTAAGAAGATGTAAATCACATCTCTCCAGGAATGGCAGCTGAGATAGTATTACAACAGATAGTGCAGCGGAGTCAATTCATCTATGTAGCGAACTTTCTTGAGACAACAAAACTCTTAAGCAAGTGATTGTGGCCCGACTGAACTGAACAATCTCCCGCAAATCGGCAAGGTGAAATATACCCGTTAATCTGCTTACTCGGTAATCAAAAAGATGAGGTTCTGACAGCAGAGGCCGATCCCAGCCCCGAGACCGCAAAAGTTCCATCTATAATTCAAGTGGCCTTTGTCCTACCTGCCGGTTGACACCCACGTTGTCCACAAACAGCGCCCCCCCTGTCATCCCACTGCTCATTGTACCCCCCCACGACGCTTGCAATTGCCGCGGTGCCATTTGCCGCTGCACTCACGGTTACGTGTCTCTGACCCTCTGTCAGGCTCTCTAGACCCCCCAGAACAGGATAAAAGCTCGCCCCCCCTATGGTTCCAGAGCTGTAATATGTGACGGTGCTGGTTGGATGGTGGAATGCGCCAAAAGGAACTAGAGGTGGCGGGGTGCGTGGGGCCAAAGGGAGTACTGGAGAAGTGAGGAGGTGGTTGGCTGCCAGGGAGGGGGACTCGGAGCAGAAGGCGGCCCAGAGCTGGGAAGCTGCGTAAAAGAAGAGGAAAGGCAAAAGTCTGGTCTATATCCGGGATAAAGGTTTTTAGAAAGGGTGAAAGAAACTGTGTGGTTGCCTGGGGTCTTCGAACCAGTGAGTTCACCTTGAAGCACATGTCACAAATCTGAATACTTATCAAGCAGTATTGAAGCTCAGAGCATGTATATGAGCATTGCTGCTTCACAGAACAACTTCTTAGAGAGTCAAGCTGGAGGTGCATGGGCACCATATCCACAAGCAAGTCTGAAAGACTGAAAAAACAATTAGCACCCTCAGTAGCTTCTGAGACAAAAGTCTTTCCGTCACAAGTCCCACAGGGGAAATTTTCTCTTTCACCTATGAGTGTCAGATAACCACACTTCATTCATGAATGGATGATCCAAGGGGCACTTCTCATCCACCAATCTCGAAATTGCTCTTTTTCATCCTTCAGAAAGCCGTCTCAATCCATCCCCAACAAAAAAGTTTCTTATAGGTTCAACTTCCTGTGGAGATCTGTCCGCACCTCAGATTGAGCTAAGCGAGAAAACTTCTTCGCATACTTCTAGTTTCCATTCCTGCACCAAAGTTATTTCCTACAACCTGGCAAGTAAGAATCTTCACGATCTGGTGAATCTGGTGAATCTGGTTTAGCACCACCATTTACCTCACTCCACAAGCAAAGCAACAAACTTAAGCAGCGCCCTCCTCTACAGAAAGTGAAAGACTAGAGTTTCCAGGCGCAGGCTCAATACCCTTGAGATTTGTCAGAATCTCCTTTTTGCGCGAGGTCATGCTGTGCATGAGAGGACTCACCATTCATGGCTGTTGTTCAATCTTGCAAGGCCAGATTTACTGTGCTCCAGTCTGCAACAAGCAATCCAGTCCCCAGAGTTCTTTTGCACAGTTTGTGTAGACGTGCACCAGCATCTGAGCACTTTCGTCAGCACCTCATCTGCATAAAATCAGTAATCACAGCCGTCATGACCTGGCATGCACTGCAGTGAGCTTACATCAGCTGCGCCATGCTTCAGCACAACTCTGGAAGTCTTCTGCTAAACTAATCTTTGAGAGACTCCAATTCTGGGGGTCCTCTTGGGGCTGGAGGCCCTGCTGCACCTTGAACCACAAGGATCATTCAGCCGCTCGTTTCCAATTTCCATGCCAGCCAACGCAGTGAGGCGCCATCATGCATTGAAAGCTGATCAACATATGCTTCTCAGGGCCAGCTGGCTGAAGTTTCAGCCTGACCTGTGCAATTTCTCCAAAAACATGGTTAAATTGTCGATCCTCTTCCGCTAAAAGCGGTCAGATGATCAGCAGCCCAGAGTCCACGGGCGAGAGTGGTCAACTGGGTATCAACCTCACTCAATGGGTTGGACCCTAACCAATCAATCCGTTGGTCAGTCACAACGGACTCCGGCGGAACTTTGATCAGCTCAGGACGGACTCAAATCAGGCAGAATATGTTCTGGCGTTTACTGCAGGCTGTGTGCGACAATTTTGACATCGGCCAACAGCTGATAACCATCTTGGCCATCATTTGCATTATCATGGATTGTGCCTATATGACTACGTGCCACCTATGTAGAGAGTCAGTGAGCGCTGGACAGTACCTTTATTCTGGCCCAGCGGCGCGGGGGCGGCTCAATTTGTGAGTCCCCCACTGAAGAATCTGCAGCAGACTGGGTACTCCTCTGCGTGCGTGTAAATCAGTCTTCAGATTAAAAACTGGCCCAGTGAAATGTTAACATCATGTGCAGACAAGTGACTGCAGTCATGAATCTAAGCTCGCGGCCGCATCATCGCAGCAGAACTGGTGCATGGACTCGAATCGGCCGACCGCAGTACTATGTGCAGCTGTGTAAGTCCCGTTTGACGTTACAAGATCTGCATCATCGGTTCCAGGCTTTGCGACGTGGGAAATTCTTTTCCGTGCATTGGATTTTCTAGTCAAATTATGTTCCCCGGGAAGCTTGTGCCCCTAATGCGAATGGATATCAGGGGCATCGAATCGGGAATGGACCACCCTTGGTGGAAGGGAACTTATGGCAACCGCGAACTAAGCTTGCCAAGCACCGTGATTCTTCATGTGCATTCTCTGGGATGACCAATGAAGTTTCTACTCTGTACCGTTGCCTTCGAAGGCAACGAGTAGCCAAAATAAAAGCTGTTTGTCAAGGCTTCAGCTTCGAATAACTAGATGAAATAGGTTGTAAACGTCTCACGATTGTTTGCAGATGGTCGAAGGCGCAGCATGGGCTTCCGTAATAGATTACGGCTTGCAGATTCACCGTGACACTGGATCACATTTGGGATCGTATCGCTCCATCTTAGAGAACATGTAGCATGTTTCTTGGCAGCATGAAGAAGCCCTGAAATCACCCGGCAATGACTCGTACAACGTTGTGCTGTGCATTCTCAAAGTGACTCGTGCAAAAATGTGCGCTGCAAGTGAGAGGTCGCTGATCTTTTCTTGATTTAGCGACCTCTTAATTATCTAGGCCGGCCTGCCCAAAGTGACGATGCGGTGGATATATAAGCCCGGGGTGAGGGGTATATAAGACGAGATCGTACAGCATAACGGCCCCGACTTCGTCCGTACTCATCAGACATTCCCGCGACAGCGCCTCCTTGAAACGGTAAAATCTGGCGTCCCCAACAGAACGGATGCGGAATTCAGGAGGTGAGGACACGTGGAGTCAACAGAACGGACGTCCTGGACCTGACACGTGGGTGGAGGGTCTTGCGAAGGACTACGAACCTGAATCCCAGGAACGGAGTCTGCCCTCAGAAGATGCGCGTGTGAGAAGTTCACAGAAGTGGTCTGGAAGAGCAGCGGAAGCGAGGGGGCGCTACGAGCTTATCGGGTGGCAGTGGTATGACCGGTTTCAGCTTTGAACGTCAGTCCGACCAAAGCAGAGTCGAGCAAGGGTAACAAAAAAGGAGGAGTAAAAGCAGAACGGCAGACGAGCGCAAGTCGAATTGGCAGACGGAGAACGGAATGAGCAGGAAACGGAACTGAAGCTCACCGTGTCCGCCGTAAGAAGCAGACTTTCGAACGTAGGGGAGGCGCATTCTCACCAACCGGAGCGTAACAACTTTGCGGTGCTCAGCAGCGTGGTTTTAACGCTCCTCAGCGTTCAGCGGCCGCGTCCCGCAGGCCATACGAGGCCCCCGCGTATGCCACGCCGGGCCGCGAAGCGGAATCATGGCGGTGAACACGTAAAAGGATTTTGAGAAGTCCATGGGTTTGGTTTGTCCATGATGACGACATCAAGGGGCCTCAGCAAAACGGTGACGAGGGGGGAATAATCTGCGAAGAGCGGATCGTTGCTTTGCAGGCCACTCAGAAGAGCGCGGGCGCGCTTGGGGCAGATTTACCCGTCCAAAAGATGCAGACTCGTTTCTTTCCGCTCCACGCTGCGGCGTTCCCTAGATCGGGTTCGGCTCCCATCTGAAGGGTTACGGCCGTAACGCGCTTGACGCCCATGTCGTCGCTTCCGTCCCGTGACGGTTCCGCTTCCGCTGAGGCGGCTCCTTTTTTAAGAAGATTCTCTGAACCGAATCCTTGCTCTTTAACCGTGTTACTCCGCATGACTCGTTCGTTCGCCCGTTGCTTCACTCGTTCAAATTCCGGCCGCTCCCCTTTGAAGCTCCGGTTTGTGGGTCGGTTCTTGTTCCGTTCCGTTCCTTCCGTTTCGTTCCGTTCCGTTCCGTTCCGTCCCGCTAGCTGCCAGTGGTGGGCTGCCAGATCCGTTTTTCCGTCAGGTAGCAAACCGACATTCGTCGAAGTACATACGGCTGTCGATGAAACAGCTCCTGGCACCAGAAACGACTACCTTGAGTGTCCGATCCGCCCTCACTTCCAGCGATGTACCGCGGCGGGAGCGGACTCATCCGATCCGCCTTTCTTGTCAAGGCGGCACGAGATTCCAAGAATTCCACGGTCTCTCATAAACTGCACTTTCCGCCTGCCAAATAACACCCCTTGCTTCTGAGCTCTCCTTCTCCTTCTTTCTAGCGGTCTTGGCAGACTCCTGTTGCGCAATTGAAGCAGGATTTAAAAGTCCCCGCTCTACTTTCCGTCCCAACTGAGTCTTTCAAGAGAGCTGGACTCTCGCCGAAAGGCAGCAAGAGAACGGCGGTACTTCGAGCCCCGTCACTGAAAGTTGCTCTTCTCCGAGTGCATCACTGAAATGCGTTCTGGTCTAAATCCTTCATCGAATCTCGCCCTTGCGTTCAGATTTTGCAGACGCGCTGAAGCGGGCCCGTAACTGCCTTCAATTGACTCTTCGGCGGCTTTGGTGTCCCAAGGAAGCTTTCCGAAAACCGTTTCTCCTTTCTTATTCCGTTCACCTCCGCTTTGCACGCTCCTGAGCCGTCCTTTTCCGTGCTTCTTCAATGATTCATTCGCCCAGAGGCTATCTTATTTGATTCTTCCCCGCCCACCGCTGTTTTGCAGCTGGCAGTCCGCCTACAAATTGTTTCGCCAGCTCCTGTTCCGGCCGAATCCGTTCCCCGCGGATCCATCCGCTCGATTACAATCCTTCCAAGTCGTTCCGCCGGAATATAACCGGGTTCACATGACATCGCCACAGCAAAGGTAATCTGTGTGCTGATCCCGAGCAGAGCCATCGCCACGTAAAGCTCGCACGTGCTACTGCTTATTGCAAAGAAAGTGTGACCCCGGATCAGCGCAAACAGCCCAACAACTAGCAAGGGAAAGTATAGTCCACCAACCCAAGACGGCCATCACGGCGCACAACCGTCGGGAGGATGGATGAAAACTAGGTTGGTGCCAATACGGACCGCCAAAAGATGCTAAAGGCCGTTCTGATCCGACTGTGGTAACGAGTCATCCATGCAGCATCATGAATTTGGTGTGCGGGATCATCGAAGGAGCGGACTCAGGAACTCCATCCCCACCAGTGTTCCCATGTGAGGAAAAGTGCGGCGGCCTGGCAACGATTGAATTTACGGATGAGCATTTGCCGGAGAGGCCGATCGGCCATTTGAGTAACCACACCTTCAGTCACGCGCATGTTCTTCTACCGTCTCCACTTCTCGTAAAGCTTGCATGAGCTGCGCGGTCGCGCTGTACTATAGCGAATGGACGACGGTCTCAAGTGAAGCGGTCTTTGATGAACATGCCTGTGCATCTAATCATGCAGGCGTTAAGTTCAGGATTGCAGAACTCAATCATTGCAGACCGGCCCCATGATCATCTAAGACGGTTCAATGTGTACGTGCGTGCCTGCATGGTATCCAATTGAATAACAAGTCTGCCAGGGCGCCGCGCAGGCCGCACATACCATACCTTGAAGTGCAAACTTAGCTACTAGAGGTGAAAGTTCACAATTAAGCCAGCCCGTCGGCGAACAATATGCAAGCTACTAAACCATATATAGTCGCGTTCATGAAATCATGCATGCATCAGTGCCTGGTGCAGTCGGATCGGTCAAGCCGCTATAATCAGTCGGCCGGCGATGCTCAATTGAGTGTGAGTTCAACGGTTTAAACTCAAACTGCAAGTGGGGCGACAGTTACGGTAGAACAATTGTCCAAAAGTTGGACACTGGTTTGACTACCATGTCCCGATCTTGTTCGATTCCTCAAGTCGTATTGTTCAGGCTCACACACACTCAGGCTTGGCTGCGAACGGTAACAACGGTACGTAAAATTGACAAGCTACCGTACTGTACCCTCAACTTAGCTGCAATTTCAATTACTCTGCCCCATGTACGACGCAAGAAATCTCATCCACTGATAACTTGACAAGTATCTCTCGCTGCCCACCGCACGTCACTCAAACAATGTTCATTCTAAGTAAAACGTGACGAAGCTTCCCGAATCACTGGCATCGTAGGGTGAGTGTGATTTAATACCTAGGGCCGCTTCAACCAGAACTTCAAGGGCCCCTTCCTTGCACGCTCGAACGGATGAACCTGCAAGGAAGAGTCGCGACATTCTGTCAGCTGGTGATTGGATGTATGGAAATCTTTCGAAGAGATACTCGAAAGATCTTTCGATCTTTCGATCTTTCGATCCGGGACCCCGTGCGGAAGACAACATGGTCAGAAAGACACTTCTGCTGTTCAAAGGCACTGGTCTTTCGAGGTCTCCCCGGTACAACCACATAAGAAAGCTGTGGTTGCTTTCCAGAGCTGAAACACTTGTACAAAGTTGCAAATCGGACATACATCTCAAAAGAAACTGAAGAAAGAGCCGCCCAATCTACCGTGGAACCTTTT